TTGGAACCATATCGTATGGGATGTTTGGAACTATAAATACATGATAGTTTTCATTCCAAAATATAATAAAAATTCATTCCATTTTTCATTCAAAAACCTTGAAGAAATTGTCACTTTACATAATCAAATTTCACCTTTTCACTTGTTTACTTTGAAGAAGCACTTTGCTTTTGGTGTTCTTCAATTGGATTTGATTAATCCTACAAATTATTTGTCAATTTCAATCCTTAAAAGCATTGTGGAGGAGACAAATATTGTTTGAGGACAACGATACATTTTTCGTGTCCAAGTCTTCATCTTTTTCGTTGTTTTTTGTCTCATTCGCTGTATCTTATTCTTTTTTATAACATTTCATAACAACAAAGCCCCTGCTTGAATAACTCTCAAGAGGTACAAGCATTTAACAACCCTATAAAGGTCACTTCATATGGCTTCCCTTCATCCCATGAAGCAGCATATTCTTGATAACACCAAAAGCTCCCTCAGTCTGACCGTATAATGCAAAACAATTTATCATAGGGCTCCAAGAAGTCAAATTCACCTTTTTAATCTGATCAACTACTATTATTGTCATTTTTAAGCTCCCACATTTCCCATAGATATCAATCAAAGAATTTACAAGCAACAAATCCAAACCAAAAGCATCATATGAATATACGCGGGAATGTTTTTCCCAAGCTACATCATCCAACAATGCCCACAAGCAAAAAGCGTATAAACCACCGCCACCTGATTAGACCTATTCCTTTCCTCAATCCCCATCTCAAAATCATTCTCCTAAAGAACTCAATAACCTTCGAAAACAACTCATTCTGCATACATTCGGCAACAATAGAATTCCAAAACGGCTTGTCTCTAATACCCTCGGGCATTTCTTCAGAAAGAAGAACAGTAATTCCCTCGTGTAACCTGAATTCATTGTAGTTCACAACACAACATTCCTTTCAAGCATTTCATCAAACATCTTTTTCGAAAATATATATGTGAATTGTGCTTCTAAAACCCGACTTTGGAAGAGAAAATACATTTTTACTTTAGTCTCACTTGGAGTGATTTTATTGGTCTCTTGACCATCACCCGGATTTGTCTTTCTTTGGAGCTTTCTTGGGCCATTGGATTTGATCAACCGTATGAAAAAACCACGTTTTTTGAGGATTTATCTTTCTTTGGAGCTTAATTTGGGGCTGTATTAATTTGATCAAAGAAAAATCACCATGAGAAAATCGCCACTTAGGCTGAGACTGAATGCTGATCTTGGTTGTACTGATTAATTCACTCTCTCTTGGAAGGTTCTTGCATAGTGACGGGCTCGATTTTACCTCCGAGCCCCCCAAATTAAGCTTTGCCGAACTGGGTCAACATTTCTTGTGTTACTTTTATTTCTACAGTGTGCATTCTGGGTGTGTTTATTTTTGTCTGCGTGTTATTTGGGTGAAATAACCCAACAAAATATCAACAACATATCTCGAATATGCATTCAAAAGTGATGTTTGCACAACCGTGTATTGCCAAAAACCAAATTTCTAAATCTGGGTGTGCGTCATTTGATTCCCCATAAGGCTTACCGACTTCAAGGCAAGACTTCAAAATTATAGGAAATATAAACTCGTTAGGTTTCGAAGTAATTTCTTCACAAATGAAGTATGATCACATAGTATACTGTATGCAGTAATCATCGCGACGTAAAGATAAATATTGGTGCAGTTGAAGTGGTCGAATATGTACCTGGCGTAGGCAGTAATTGAGAGCTTTTCTATACCTAAACGGAGCAATTTGAATGTGTAGAAATGGTTTTGGCCATGGCCAAGAGTGATGACATGGGATTGAAGTTGTTTGAGGTGATTAAGGTTGTTGCATTTGTCGAGGATTGAGATGATATGTCCGTTCAATCTAATGGCAGGAAACATGTTCTGTATTCACTGTAATTGTATTCATTTGTGTTAGAATTGTAGCGGTAGGTAAAATTTACTTCTAATTTTTTTTTTTTTTTTATCAACAAACATACTTTTTAAAAAATGTGTTACACCATTATATGTAGCTTATATGTGATTTGTCATGAACAACTGGCAATCCTTCTTAATGCCTTGAGTCTACTCGAAGTCATAAGTCATATAGACCACACTATGCCTCTGTTTGGACAAACTATTTCCTAAAAAATCAATTAATTATAGCTCTCAATTGGGTTCCATTTTGTTTACAAGAACAATAATCATTTCTCACAAGTGACAAACGAACATGGAAGTCAACGTTGGTGACTTTTTTGTTGAAATATCCATTTCACCCTTCCACTTTTAATGTGGCGTGGGAAATATTTCATATCCTACTATAATAAAAAAGACGGTTTTGGGTTACTGTACATGCAACAGTTATCCAGTGAGATGTTAGTGTTTATTTCCCAGATCTTCACACCTCTATTCCTTAAGTTTTATATCACGTCTTTTTTTTCCCAATCTGCTATAAAAACGATGTCTGACACATGCTTCATCTGGTAATCTGAAACTTAAACAATACATTGCCTCTTAGATTTTGACTTCACACACGATGCAAATAGATGAACTGAGTCAACAAAGTATTGTTGTAGCTTCTACCTTGTTTGGAGCAATATCTCTGACCCGAAAAAACACTGGGTCTTATATACTAGCACCCAATACAGTTTCTGCTTCCTATACACCAGTAAACCCCAATTTAGATGCAACACACACAAGAAAAATGATGAACAGTCTTATGGTGAAACAGCATTATGAAATTCCGTGCGGAGACATCTTATGATTAATTTTTTTTTTTTTTTTTACTTTGGATACAAGTCTTCCTTTTTTTTTTCAAATTGACTTCTTTTTCTTGTTATTAAATTTAGGCGATACCATTTGCTTACAATTTACACAAATTAAATACAATTTCACATTAATAATTTGTTATATACTGTTTTTATTTATAATAGTAGGATATGTTGAAATTTAAGTTAGATTTGCTTATAAATTAATTATATATCTTCATGTCGAGGGCGTTGCCCCCGAACCCCCACGATGGGCACGCTCCCTCGACTCCTGCGACCTGACTAGGTAGGTCAATCCCCGTTTCGAAGTAGCAAACCATTTGCATAACAACAATAAACAAACAAATAAATTATGAAAAATATATATTATCTTCAAACTAATAGTATTCTGCTAAATTTGAAGTTTGCTCAATAAGGTGGTATTCCGATAGCCACTGTAAACTTTAGCAATAAAACTTGACAAAGTTTTATTCCAGAGTTAGTGATTATGCAGGCACTTCAATTATTTTTTTCCTCCATTTTTTTAGCTTTACGATTGTGTCAACGTATCAACCTGATGGAAAGACTTTTGCATAACCATCAAAATATGAGGTCTGATTCTAAGATTTGAATTTTATGGATTCATTTTTCAGACAGGCATATTTAACAATGAAAAAAATGTTATTTGTATTGTCCTTGTATTGAAAAATTCTAACATAACTTACTCTTCTATTCCTTAATGTTACAATTTGTCAATGATCTTCCTGACACCAAGTCATTAACATTTTGTAATACAAAATCTCATCAAGATATAAATATTGGGGTTAGTAAAGTTTATTCATCGTAATAA